CTGGTTGGGGCTGTGCTTCCTTGAAGTTCATATGTGCGTGCACTTCTGCCTGTGTTTTTATGCCTCTGTGTGTGTGTGTGTGCGTGCACACAGGCCCTGCTTTGTGTGAGTGTGTGCAGAAAGTGCAGTGTTCTCACTGATACACAACACCCCATGAAGTCCTTGTGGGTTTGCCGCTCCTGTGATGCGATGATGCCGAGCTCTGCTGATGGTGGTGATATGTACCCGTTTGACCTCTCATTGCTCAGAGCAGGAGTAAACAGAAAGGGAGAACAAAAGAGTCGGAGGACACAATGTTCTTTTCAAAGTGACCTTAGTTCTTTTTAAACCCCAGAAAAACTTGCTCAATATACTGGGAATGGCTTCGCTGCCAAAACTGAAAAGTAGTTCATTTAAGAGCACCACTGCAATAATAGAAACAGGCTCAGCATAGCAACGTTACTATAAACGCTCATCACAAATAATTCACTTCTTTTTCTCAAAGGTTTGTGTGTCCAAATCCCAGAATCCATTGTTAAAAGTCCTCCAGGCTTTTTAGCGAGTACACTAAATTAGATCAGTTCTTTGTGCTGTAATCGACAAACACCTGGCTGTTTGGGCAAAAAAGAAAAAGAAAAAAAGAAAAGACAGAAGAAGAATATTTCCTCTGGTCTTTTCCCTGGTTACTTGCTGTAGTTGTCACTTCTCATAACCTCTCTGCTTTTTCTGAAAGCAGCTCCTCTCCAATTTGACACTACAGTCATTTAGAGAACAAGGCAAATCAGCTACTTAAGCTCGAACATGCTGAGCTCTGAAAGCAGGGCCGATATGTCAATCTTAGAAATCAATTACACTGCCAGGGGGCATGTAGCTGCTGCCGGTAATTTTGTCCCCAAGCAACAGGAGACAGTTTAATATGGCCTAGATCCGTTAGCATTCAGAGTTTTTTCTTTTGGATTACACCCAGTGTGACAATTGAACAGCTTAGTGCTTCTGAATATTAGTATTCACTTGTTATTGCTGCGGCCGGCCCCCGCATCTATTTTTGGCAGATGATAGCAAAGCTGGAGCAGTGTTGTGGTGGTATTCATTATTCCCTTGGTGCTAAATAAAGAGAGACACAGTACACTCAGTGCTCTTTCTCTCCGTCTCTCCCAGTGTGTGTATCTGCAGTATACTGTATGCCACCTTACCGTACGCTATACTGTATGTGTCTTATATGTGTTGGATATGCCCTTCTTTCTCTCTCAGTGGAGTCATCAGTTCTCCGTTCTCAGGTCTGGTTGTTGACCTGCTTATGGTGGAAGACGCCTTTTCAAGCGCGCGCTGAAAAGCTCTGCTTTTGATTTATTATGCACAGAGAATGCAAGTATCAAAGCCGGTCTTCGTCTCCTACTCGCATTACTCTCTTCACAGTACTGTACTTCCTGTTGTTAGGTTACCGTTAGTACTGACACCACGTAAATGGTCATCGTAAATGACTTCCTTTCATTCTCGCTGCTATGTTTTTCATCAGCTTTATGAGGAAACAGGGAGTAAAAGATTGGAATTCACCTTTACTCAAGTGATCAGAATAAATCATGCGTAATTTTACTGGTATTGGTGAACCAAAAGCTATGCATAAATATGAATTACGGCACAATAAGTTCCATTAAAAATTATTTACATTTTATATTGAGCATATCAAATGTTACAGTTCTCTGTTTTATGTCTAAAACACATTCAGTGTATTAATGCAAACACCATCTTGTCGTGCCCTCGTTCTTGTGCTTTCATAAGAAGAGTTGTCACATTAATTAAAAAGAAATGCTAGAATGATCCTTGGGTTGAGGTATTTATTTAGAAATGTACTGAAATGTACACGTGTGTGAGCAAGATGCTTCAAACAAGATGCTTCAAACAGAAATGAATGAATGGCCCTGGTGATTAGCCTTTTCCTTTATTTATAGGCCACGCTGTGACAGATGCAAAAAAAAAAAAGAAAAAAAAAAAGTTCCCACATGTTGATTTAGGGGGAATGAGGCCAGGGTTTCCATGGTGATGCTCGTAACCTAGTCTGTCTCTGAGGGTCTGAGGATTGTTCTCCATTGTCCTCCAGAGAAGAGATGGAGAAAAGAGAGCGAAATTGAGAGAAAGAGAGTCGGCCACAGCTCAGCTTGGGATATGCAAAACAGATGTGAAATACAGACCATTGTTATAGGGGGGAAAAAAAACATTTTTATTGTTTCTTTCTCTGATATGTTCACAGATCCATACAGAGAAAAATGAGAGTAATTATTTGTTTCCATATTATGGAAAAATAAGGCTTCATTTGAGCTTTAAAATCACATATGACTGTCAGACATCCAACACAAACTCATCCAGTCCATCCAAGATTGAGAAGCTCTGCATCTCAAGCATTCAAAATAGCTTTTGGGTAATTCTCGTTTTTTTCATTCTTGCACCCAACTCCTCCTCAGCACGAGCGAAAGTCAGCAGCACAAAATGGAAATTGAAGTCAACTTCAAATAGCCCCTGCTGCATCGCTTGGTCCCCAGGTGCTGATGAATCCCTTTTCCAATCTCCACAGCCCACACAGTCCTTCTAAACTGTCCATTAAGAGTGATGTGCTGCTAAAGGTTCACTCTCAGGCAGAGGCACCTCCTTCCATTTTGTTTACACATTAGCCTTTTTTATTTCTTACCTTAATCATGCTGTTTCCACTGGATGCTGTTTTTTATTTTACTGCACATATAGCATAAGGCAATGTCAAGACAGATATGCAATATTTTCCCCACTCATTGCTTGCGCAGATGGCTGTGAGCATGTGGAAATACTGATCCCAAGCATACAGCAGTTGCAGCTGCCAGTTCTACTCTCCGTTGCGTTGACTCTTGGTGTCCTCGCAAGAACCAGCAGCGCTAATTGTAAGTCTTGTCTTGTGGTTTCTCCTTGTAGCACTGTATTCATCACTGTTGCATTTTTGTAGCGATTTAAAGGATAATGAGCTTTTATATTGTGTTTTTATCCACTTAGGAGAGGCACGCATTCAAGTAAAGAAAAGTCTGGAGATGGGCTGAGGTGGAGTTTGAAAACAAACCGTCACACATGCTTTTTGGGCTTAGTGCTTTCGTTTCATTACATATTCCGGAAAGAGACATCCTTGGAGAGGTGTTCAAAGATGCCAAAAAGCAGCTAATTGTTCCAAGTGAATGCAGCAGTGATTGGATTTCATTTGAACAAAAGAAAAGCTTCAGCAAAGTTGGATTGCCATTATTTCTGAAGACACAGTGCGAGACCAGTGCAGAAAGTCTCATTTCCCCAGAGAAGGTGGAGAGATCAGACCCTGGTATCTCGATGGACTGCGACTTTGTTTGCTAAAAGTCCCACACAAATGTTCCAAACTGAGTATTACGTTTTGTAGTCAGTAAGTCAAATACTTAACAATCTCTCAGAGGTGAAACGTTTGAAAGCCCATCCTGAATAAACCAAGTTAGAAAGTGTTCATCACTCATATCACAAAGAGTCAGTATACAGAAGCAATAGGCTAATCTTTGCTCCTGAAGAAGAGCGGTGTGTTTCAGGTGTTATAAAGACCCGATAGAAGACCTTTCTCACAGCAGACGATTTGAATTGTCAAACTCAGGACAAAGCAAATTCAGATAACAATGGCTCAGTTCCATCAAGAGCCATGTTGTTAGCCAGCATGTACGGTACCAGGACCCTGGAAAAACAGCTCACCTAAATGGAATTCTGTCGTTTTTAATGTAATTAATTACACTGTGCTTGTGCTGCTATGACAATCCCAAATTTCTGCTATGAAAAATGGTGACTCTGCAGCGCACGATTTATGGCCAATGCTGACGTTCAGTAAAAGTAAGTAGAAAAGGTAGGAGAAAGAGGGCTATAGCTATATATAACTATCGCTATGCCCGTTACTCAGCATACAAACATAACCATTCTTGCTGTGCAAATGTTTACAGCCCTCCGGTGTGGTCTTGCTCCTGCGTTGCTCCCGTTCAAAAAGAAAAGCTTGAGCAGTCCTGTAAGAAAGTGGGAGAGGTATAAGCAGGGTTAGTGTGGTGACTCCACAGCACTTAGACTTAACTCACTGCTTGTGTGTGTGTGTGTGTGTCTGCCTGTGTGTTTAATCAGTCTTTACCACCTGGTGTTAGAGGACAGCTTTCATATTTACTATATAAGATAAAGCTTCAACAATCTGTTGCTCTGTTTCCCCGAGTAATACTTGTCCATCTTTTATTCATTGCAGTCGTTCTTTCACTCTTAAATTTAACTTTGAAGTCTTTCTGTCCTCCTGCTGAGTCCGACACAGCGCGCAGGGCATCGCAGCCATTTAATTTATTCAGCAAACATCAGCGTGACGCTGAGGACGGTTGACATCTCAAATATTTCTGTGACTCCAATTTGTGCTGACTCTTCCACTGTTTACTGTTTAAACTTTACTACTTTCACAGACGGATGCAATCCCTCCTTGCTCTAACATTTTATGTGAAAGTGAATCAAACAGAATGCAATGTGGGAACGAAATAAATTTGGGGGGAAAAAAATGGTGATTCATGGCACAGAAATGGCAAATAAGTGTAAAATTTCTTCTTTTTTTTTTCTTCTCTGCCATCACCTCTGGTTAGCGCTACCTTTCACAGAGTTTTGCCCTCTTGCTCTGAGGTTCTGATTTATGTCTTCCTATGCAACAAAGCAATTTCAATCCTTTGCCAGCTGCAACTCTGTTGCCTGAAATTAATTTGAGCAGAGTGAGTAAGAACAGATGGGATGCACGTCTTGCATGCAGCCTGTCCTCATTTCTTAAAGAATATCTTTCCAACGGCAGCTTTAATTTATTTACCAAACTACATTTAGGATACTTGTGTCTTTTTTAATATCTTTCTGGAGACGACGATGATGATGATGATGATGTTACTTTTTTGCATCTACTGGCCCATAACTTTCTTAAAATTTGAAGTAAAAACACGCCGTGTCCAGAATGTAACTATATTTTCACCTGTGTGTCTCTTTGTCTGCAGGGACCCAGTCCATCGGAGGATCCCTCCAGTCCCAGTTCAGCCAGCGCACAGCAGCCTCGAGGTCGACACAGTTTTGTCCAGGAACACTTCCAGGCTCAGTACAGGTGAGAAGGACAAACATAAACAGCGCGCTCAGATATTGTTCCTAGTTTGTTCAAGACACTGGTGTTTTTTTGTTTTTTTTTGTCTTTGTAACTTTTAGGAATTTCTGTCAAAAGCATGTAACTAAAAGCTCCAAGTAAGAAGTAGGACGAGAACATATTTTGGTAACGATCCTTATCAATTATGCAGAATGGAGGCTGGATTCCACAGGGCACTATATCTAATGTCCTGAGGTTGTGTTTGAATAAACAGAGTGCAATACATACCATAAAAGAGAAAGTTTCAGCACAGGTGAGAATGTATTTTCTCTCCTGTGGATAAGAATCAGTAGCTTGAGAAAGTAGGTCAGACAGGCCTGCGAAGGATTCAGGGGATTTATCTTTAGTACTGGCTTCTGGCTCTTTTTGCTTCATTCACAGTGGAAAGTCGGAGACTGGGGTTCTCAAGTTTAATAGACCTTCTAATGAAATTGACTCTAGACCTTTCTGTAACCTTGTCTCCACACATGGTTGTGTACGTTCACTTAACCTCTCGCTTTTGCCTCCCATTGGATTCCTGGACAATGTAAACAAAATAAAAGATGATAAATCCAGGAGATATAGCTTGAAGAAAACGTTAGGCTATCGGACAATCAGATGATTTGAAATGACTAACTTGGAAACAGTTTCTCTTGTACAAAAACAAACTGTCACCAAAGCCAAATACAGCAAAGTTCTCATTTTCAGTTTTTTTTTTTCAGATTTTTCTTCTGCAGAAGGAAAATAAACAAGTAGAATATGCGATTCTGTCCATGCAAACTTCACAATGTAATGAACTCACATGGACTTTCCCACTTGCAAATACTTCCAGTATGGCGATAAAAGCCACTAATGCTGGATCTGTATGGAAAGGCTCTCTGTGGGAGGTCAATCCATACTATATGAGACTAAGATGTGGTTTTATTTATTCTGGTGGATAGCAGGGGGGGGGGTACAAGAGACTCTGTCTGTGTCTTGTTAGTGTTGTAGAGCTCCAAACTCATGTGTTTGCTTCAGAACTTCACCCACAGAAAAGTAATAGGCAACTTTATAATAACTGATTCATCATTTGTCATTTCTGCTCACAAAACTAGGGACGTTGTAAACATCATTTAACCCAACATTTTCTATGACTAGTGTCTCATCTTTTTTGCAATCTTTAAGGTGGAACTGTTGTTTGTGAAATGTAATCCCATCAGTGGGGAATGAAGGGAGGTGGATGAATTGATTAGTTGCTGCTTATGACAAATTGTCAAGAATGACAAACCGTTTATTTTAACAGTATCTTAACTGTATTTACTGTCAGCACTGAAGTTCGAGACCGGCTCAAGTCAGTTTGTCGGAGTACACATTTGCCTTCATCACCACTCTGCTGCATCTGGAATTGGGACCAAATGAAGTTTCAGATAGATTTCACTCTCTTCTCTCGCTTGTTTTGAATTAAATTCCCATCCCTCATTTCAGCCAGGCGGCAAATGGGCAAAGGCTTATTTGTGTGTAAGTTGAGGGGAGAAATTCAAGGTCAACCTGTGACGCTTGTACAGTAGTGACCACTACACACTGCGAGGTTAACCAGCTATTCATTCGTGGGATTATCCCATTTCCTCAGTGAAGGATGATGGATTGAACGCATCGAGTCGGACTGTATCCCTGCAGTATAGTCTCTTTTTTGTCTCTCTCTTCCCCATTCTCTCTTACTATTAACACACATACACACACACACACACACACACACACACACAAGCAGACACACAAGCAGACACACAAACACCTGAGTGTTTATGTGACATTATCAGATTAGCTGCCAGTTCATTAGCTGATTAGAGCAGAAACGCTCTGGGAAGTTTTCACAACACAATTCCCTGGAAGCACCTACTGCATCTTCAAACAGCTGTGTGGGTCTCTGTTGATCCAGTACACCCGTACACACAAACACACACACACACACACACACACACACACACACACACACACACACACACACACACACACACCATCACACACAAAACATCCTGTACTCGCCTTGTTCTTTTTCCCGGCTCAGACGCACATACACCTCATTTCCCACATGACATAAATGTCCCCTCTCCTCTTTTTTTCCTTTTCTTTTCTTGAACAATTCAGGCTATATTTAGAGGGGCATTTCTTTGTGCTTCTATTATTTGGCTGAGTGCAGGCGGGGTAATACTTTCTCCTTGCATAAGAGCTTCTGTAATTAGCTCTAGATGCCACACATACACACTCACAGACCCACGCACACACCTCCAAGCACAGCTGAGTGGGAGGCAGTGGGGTACATGCAGAATTATCCAGCATGTGCACAAACAGAGAGACGTTAATGTTATATTTGTACACATGATGACACGTGATCATTACTGAATTGATGTAATTAGCTAAAGTGCCACTGCTTCGTGGCACTGCTTTGTCTCTGCTAAAGAGGCTAAGCGCTGAGGCGTGATCACTTCTGAGTCTGGTGGGGACACTGGAGAAGCTTCATAATGGACTAGTGATGGACCATAGGTCACCTGTAAGACGTTTCCCTATCACAATTATGCTTTTACACAGAGCTTAACAGAAGGGTATGTGCAAGAAAGGCACCGGACTCATGGTGCTGATGTATTGCAGAGGGTTTTGGCAACAAACATGCACATATGTTCAGTTCACAGAGTACTCCATTGATGTTGTGTTGCTCTTCTGTATTATTGCTGTACTCAAAATGGATTTTCAAAATTGTTTTTTTTTTTAAGTAATGAAATCAATGAAGCAGAACCAGAAATATTGTCTTTGTCTTATTCCATAACTTCTGATGGCTTATAAATTAATGTTTGATCATCAGTTGAGGCAGATGATATACATTCAAGTCAGAATCACTATGCAAAAGCACTGACAATAACTCTTAACACACACACGGTAATTACTCTTTGGTGTCACACCTCACCCTAAAGTCTTATGTCTTGAGTGCAGTGAATTGGTCTACTCTGCGCTAATAACTTATGACTCCAGCTGTTTTTGCCTGCTGTTGCCATGAGTCATTACCGGTTAGTTACAAGCTTCTCATGTAACTGCAAATCTCAAAATACGGGACTGTGGCATTCACCTGAGGGGGTTTGAGTAAGATGTGTATAAATATAGAGAGATGAAGAGCGTGGGTGTGTGTCACCGTTAAAATCTGGATGAGATGGTTTGAAGAACAGACGTAACAAACAGTACACGGCAGTTTTTATTTCTGTTTTCACATTGCTAATGCCAGTCACAGTCCTGTGTCAGTTTTTACTGCTTTATGTATATAATACTTTTTCAATGAATCTATCATATAGTGTTTAAAAGTCTTTCAAGGCACAATATGTAATATTACAATAACAATAGATGGCATGTGGTGACATCGTGAAGTATCGTGGGATCATGGGAGTTGTTGTCTTCACCACCGCTGCCGGATTCCTTCAGTGTCAGCCGTTCAGGAGGTTTTTACTGGGAGCTGAATTATCCACAGAGGTTTCTTCCTCTCCGAATCTAATAGAGCAGGTGATTATAACCGGTAAAAACACTGAATAAAGTAGTTTCACATCAAAATTTTGTGATTCGCCGACACGGTTCAGCAGACGCAAGATGTCTTGGAGGGGCTGTGAGCTGAGCTGTTTGCTTGACTTTTTTCTCTAATAACTTCAGATCCAAACGTCTGACGACAAAAATCCTTCATCCGGCTAAAATACATATTTGAAAACTAGCAAGGCGTAAAAAGCGTATCTTAAAAATGTGGCTTAAAAGTGGATGAAAAGTCAATTTTGACTGCTTCTGACAGGCAACCACAACGCCAACATAGGGGATATGATGCAAGTGGCAGGCAACCAAATGAAATAGGCCGTTACATAGGTCTAGTCATTTTGAGACATTGTAACGTGGAAAAGTTACATATTATATGTCTAAATCGCTTGATTTGTCTGAACAGCATCTCATTTAATACGATTAATGATTGATTATCTGTGCTGTTGTAGGGTTGGGCGCTATGTTAAAATGTTCATGCTGTAAGTTGCTTTGGATAAATGCCAAATTAGTAAATGTAAAATGCAACATTTTCAGCAAATGCAATCATGGAAGAGCTGACAGAAAATAACAGAATACAAAATCACCTTTTTGGGATTATTTCGGTTTTTAATCGGATGCAACCTGTGGGCTGAAGGACATAAACGAATGTTTACACACATATAGTGCCAGACAGAAAATTCTGCCACTACCAATTTGCACGAGCATTTGCAAATGCACCATCCTACACTGCCCCTGGACAAGCCGTGCTTCACCAGCCCAAACTCAACCCAAAGAAAAAACTACCAGCAATAGACTCAGCCAAACGCAGATCTATTCATCCAATTTCCCAACTCTCTACTGTTGCTGTTTTGCACATCTTCTAAATACTGTGATTTTTCTTGCTACAGCAAATGGAAAATTTCACTTCTAAGATCCTTAAAATGTAATCTTATTTCATTACATAATTACATAATATATACGGTCGCTAAGATACAGAAGGTATAATTTCTATACAATCCTTACAAATGATTACCTTTATTTTTAGTTTTGTACTATATAACAATTCGTCAGTATGAATCACCCTATTGGTTGGTTGTCTGGTGAGTCTTAAGAGAACTGTGGTGCAACATTAAAGCTTGGTCAGTGGTCAGACACTACATGATTTAAATTGGGGTTGTCTCATTGTGTAACAAATATAGCATTTGTCTGGCACAGATACACCAGCATATACTGATACCCATTAATGTGCACATTTCCTCTCACTTACTAACTTCATGAATAAATGAAGCTCTCAACAAACTCACACGGTCTTCATTTCCTCACTTTTCCTCACATTTGGTGTTCAGTTTCTTACAGCCTTGATGCACTGCCTTCATTTTTTCTCACTATAGCACCGAACTATTTCAGAGGGAAAATCAATACTTACATTAATACTACCAGTTTCTCTCTCCAAGACCTAAGTC